TCGGCAAAAAATTAACTTAGAATAAAATTTTTTCGAAATATTTTCCTTTTGTGAAAAATGCTTCTATTATAATAATATTTTGCCTGTATATAGCTCAGACCTCTGTACAGAGGCTCAACTATATTTTTGAAAAATTCACATTATTTTCAGAGTTACAACCCATTGAAACAATTATCGGCGTTTTTTTCTTTAAAAAAATAATAATAAATCTGAATAAAGCACATTTAAATGATGAAAGCAAGTTAAAACGTCATTTTCCTGGCAGATTTTCTATGGCCAATCGAGAAACCGGAGAAATCCTTGTCTCCGAATATTATACACTTATAACTTAATTCTGGCAAAAAATGCTGACATGATGATCCTTGTTTTAATAAAATTTATGCTGTCACCTTNTAACTTCAAATTAATCTCATTAAATTTAGTAGACAAATCTGTTAAATATGTAAAATTTGATTTCCATGTGATTAAACTTTCTTTTAAAATTAAAGCCACGATCTTGTTTACTGAGAGTCAATATCGAAGACTCCCCCTCCAAATTACTTTTTCGCGTACATGGAACCCTTGCAGATCGCTTTAGACCCCTGGAGGTCCATATAGACCACTTTGGGAATCACTGCTCTAAGCTTTCACTCAACTCTTCCTTTTATTTAAGTACATTCTGCAAAGAAGTGACTCTTTCACGGCTGAAGTGATTACGAAAACAAGTTCTAATGATTGTTGTTTTTTTTTCATTCAGTGCCCTGTCTCGCCATCGTAAGTGCGTGACGTCGGCCGCCGCTAAGCATTGTGGAAAAGAAGCTGGTCAAGTGGTCAATGAAATCATATTCAGGTACTTCGAAACGCAGTTGGAGGGGTGCTGGGAGAAACAGGAATGCGAGAAGGAATCATCAGACGATTCCTGGACCACAAATGAAGCTCCTGGACGTCGAATCACGGCTCCCGAAAGACGAACCTACCTCACCCCGCCAACGTACTTCAAAGACCCTGATTCTAGAAATAACTCCATTTGCTTCATGAATTCATTGCTAACTCTTTTATCGAGCGTCTTGATAGTTTTATTACAGTTGGTTTTGCCGCAATAAATGACATATCAAACTCTCATATTACTATTATTTATTGCCAAATGAAAAAATAAGTGTTTCTGTATTGTTTGTTATGTTTGAATATTCATTTCAGAATATGAAATTGCCTATAAAGTCTTATTTTTTTATATGTAGATGAATATCAAAATAAAGTAGTTTTAGAAATTTTTTTTTTATTCTTTGCGTATTTTTGTCACCACTGGCCATGGTCACGAACTCGTGGCCTTTTCTGTCGAGTCCTGATGCCACTAAAGACCTGTTCTGTTTAAGTGCTTTTTCCTGGAACCAAGAACATTTTATGATTTTCTTCGTCAAATAACCTCCAAATAGCTAAGTGCATTTTCCATTTATCGAACTTCTTCTCTTCGGATTCAATTTTTTTTCTCTGTTTTTGAAATATTTCTGGACCTTCGTGTGATGAAATGTACAAGTAAAATAATTTCAAATGATTAGACTTGAATTGTGAGAAAAAAATACGCCTGATAAGGTATTTCGTGCACTGCAAAGATGCGAGGAATGAGAGAAAACATTTTTTTTTAAATCACAAAGAGAGAAACTCAAACAAAATTAATAGACTTAACCAGTAGTTAAATTGAAGGACACACATTCTTAAAATTACTGGTCATAAAATATGCATGTTTAAAATGACTTGTAGGCTTAAAATTAGAAAATGTTATTAAAATTCGTTAATCATAATACAAAAGTACTTTTTTAAAGTTGGAAATAACTGAGTATTTCTTGACAAAGTTGTTTTTCTCCCCTGCTTTCCTAGTCGAATTCTTTTTGATCGGTAAGATATGTAAAATAAATAGATATTAACTTACAAAAAAAAA